CACTGCACTCCAGCCTGGGGCACAGAGCAAGACTCCGTCTAAAAAAAAAAAAAAAAAAAAAAAAATTAGCCAGATTTGGTAGCATATGCCTGTGGTCTCAGCTACTCGGGAGGCAGAGGCAAGATGAGACCTGGGAGGGTGGGGCTACAGTGAGCTGTGATTGCACCACTGCACTGGAACCTGGGTGACAGAGTGAGACCCTGTCTCAAAAAGGAAAGGTGAGGCGACTTGCCCAAGGCGACACAGCCAGGAGGCGAGATACCATCATGGTTAGTCCTTAGAATTTGGGAGTCATGGGGCTCTGGGTTCAAATTTTAGCGATCCCACTTACCTATAGCGTGACGTGGGCAAGTGACTGTCTCCCTGAACCCATTTCCTATTCCACTTGTGAAATGATGTCACATGGACAATCAGCTTTGGCTCTAACAAACCTAGAACATCTATCAGTGGCTTAAACAAGAGAGACGTTTATTTCTTAGTCACAGAAAAGCCAAAAGGTAGCCAGTTAGCTGAGGGACCTAAGCTGCTTCTGTTTTGTTCTCCTGGGCACAGCTTCCCTTCCCATTGTTGCGTCAAGGTCTAAGAGGCTGTGGCCATCATGTCTTCATTCTCTCCAGCAGTGAGGGAGAAGGGAGGAAAAGGGGCAACGCGCTCATACCATTCGTTGAGAAAGTTTCTAAGCCAGGTGTGGTGGCTCACGCCTGTAATCCCAGCACTTTGGGAGGCCGAGGCAGGAGGATTGCTGGAGCCCAGGAGTTCGAGACCAGCCTGGACAACATGGTGAAACCCAGTCAGTACCAAAATATACAAAAATTAGCCAGGCATGGTGGCGTGCATCTGCAGTCTCAGCTCCTCAAGAGGCTGAGGTGAGAGGATCTCTTGAGCCTAGGAGGTGGAGGCTGCAGCGAGCTGTGATTGTACCACTGCACTCCAGCCTGAGTGGGAGAGTAAGACCCTGTCTTAAAAAAAAAAAAGTTTCTGGATGTTTTCCTGTAACATTTCCACTCCTCCCCTGCTGACCAGGAAGTAGTCTCGTGAA